TGGATTTCCCTTTGCAGCTCGGGTTTCCGGATGCTCGGAGCCGGATGCTCGGAGCCGCAGCAGGCGTGAGCGTAGCCCTCCCTGGGGCACAGCCCTTCCTGTCTGTGCAAACGCCTGGCTCTCCTCTCACCTCTGCTCCAGCTCTTAAGGGTTTTCCCTAGAGAGGGGGAGGGGAAAGGGTATCAAAAAGGGTATCAGAGGAGGAATTTTGCATTGGCCACAGCAGGCTGGGTGGGAGTTCATCCACTTCCAGCTCCTAGTTCAAAACATTCCACTCGAGAGAGCACGCCAGCTCAGCCTGGCCTGGGAAACAAGGAGTTAAAGTTGCAAAGGAGCAAAAAAAAAAAAATCCCCCAAAGAGATTAAATAAAGCAACTACAGTTGTGTAAGCTTCATATAATTTAATCAGGTTTGCTTTTATTTGTCTCTTTACTCAGAGTGTAACATTAGCTATTGCAAGTGACGGGAAGGAAACGGCACTTGCTCACGCACACTAATCCGCAGCGAGCATCAGCCTGTCGGTACCAGCTCCCTTTCTCTTTAGGTTTTGGCGGGGGGGGGAGGTTTGTTGCTTTGTGCGAATTTAAGCCTGATTAAATATTTAATTCAGAGTTGTTCATTTATTTCTGCTAATGATCAGCAAATTAAACACGGGGGCCCAGGGAGGCAACAAGCATGTGGGGGGCTCAGGCATTGCCGTGCTGCTTGTGACGGTGGTTTCGTGTCCTCCCATGCTCCCTGCCAAGGCTCCAGTGGTCACTGTGGGGCAGGACCCCTTTCCCATCTTATCGAGTTCCTGCTGCTCTACTGAAGGGAGAAAGCTTCTCGTCCCTTGGTCTCCTTTGCCTGCTCTTGGCAGGGGTGGGGATGCGGCACGTCTCCCTCTGCCCACTTTCACTGGTGGGTCTGGTAGGTCTCCAGCTGGCTCTCAGGTCTTCCCATGCTGAGGAGTCAGCTGGCGTCTCTGCACCCCCTGAGTTACCAGCTTCATTGCATCGAGGTCCCTGCGTAGGCTGGAGGGGGGACAGGAGCAGAAAGGGTTTGTCAGTCCCCATCGCCCTTCTGGGGTGCTCTGGGGCTGGTGTCTCTGCTCGCCTGGGTGATGAGGGTGACAGCGGCACCTGAGGGCTCGTATCGCAGAATTGACAAGGACTGGGTGGGAAAAGGGTTTTCTGTCCAGTGGAAGAGAGTATTTTAGAGGGGAGGTTACAACCGCGAGGAATTTCGCTGAACTGAAGAGCGCCAATCCAAAGTTTTGATTGAAGTGAAATGATGTGATGTGTCAAAACCCTGTTCTTCATTTTGAGTTGGTGTTTTGAAATGAAAAGTGTTGTTTTGTCTCCAAATATCGACATGAAATGAAATTTTTCACTTATTCTTCCAATCAGGAAGATGGGGATGGGGGTGTGTGTGTGGGGAAATAATTAAAATTGATGTTTTACCGCAGCAAGGCTTTTATTCAGAGGAAACCATCTTTGCTAATGGGAAAATGTTGTGTTGTAAAAATGTTTGTTTCTCATAAGAAATGTGGTCAGGGCTGACCGGAGCTGGGCTGATGATGGCAGCACAGGGAAGAAAGCATCCCAGCCCAATCCCTGCTGGGTCCTATGTGGTCAAGTATGGCCACAAGTACACCTTCAAATGTCTCAAGAGGAAAGGGAATATTTCAGGCTGTGTCTGGAGTGGGACAGAGCCAGATTTCTGCTATTTGCTTCCCTGTCTGAAATCTAGCCCCCCCCCAAACCAGGCGGCTTTGCTGCTGGCAGAGCTTGGGGTTGTGGCTTTATTTGCTTTCTGTGCAATACTCGAAGCACGTGTTGCAGTGACTTCGTGGGAATTGAGCTGCTTGTTAGCTGAAATTGAAAATTATAATTTGTGTGTGTGTGTTTGGGAGAGAAAGTTTTTGTTTGTTTATGGGAGGGAAGTGCATGTATGCGCCTGCACATGCATGGGAGAGAGTCTTTGTATGGAAGTGTGCATGTGTGTATATATATATATAAACACACACACACACACACACACACACACATATATATGTATACACACACACACACATTGATGCCCTGAGACTGTGTTAACCTGATGCTAAGATATTACAAACTAGATAATACTTCTGGAGGGAACTGAGGCTAATCACCAAAGAGGAAGCCTGGTAGTATGGAGAGAGCAAATCCAGCTCCTTTTTGACCCTTTTTCATCCTTTCCTCTTGGGGGGGATGAGGGTGAATCCAGGGTCTTGTGCAGCCCAGCCACCTTCTTCTCATCGCCCTCCGCTTTGTGCCCATCTCCCAGCTTTGCTCTGTCCTTGCAGGTCCAGGCAAATGTGGAGAAGTCCTTGACCCTCTTCGGGCAGCTCCTGAACAAGAAGCACTTCTTGCTGACCTTCATCCGCACTCTGGAGGCTCAGCGGAGTTTCTCCATGCGGGACCGCGGCAATGTGGCCTCCCTCATCATGACGGCGCTGCAGGGCGAGATGGAGTACGCCACGGGCGTGCTGAAGCAGCTCCTCTCCGACCTTATTGAGAAGAACCTGGAGAGTAAGAACCACCCCAAGCTGCTCTTGCGGAGGTGAGTGACCATCCAAGAGGGTGGAGCTGTGGGACGGTGCCCAGGCTCTCCTGAGTGTGGACACGAGCTGGTGTTCTTTAGAGGATACCATCAGTGATGGCTTTGGTGTTGGCTGTGGTAATGTCAGCACTAGGTCGGTGGTCAAGCATTTCCTTACCTGTCTGCATGCAAGTATGAGAGGGATGTGGGGCCACCTGGACCCAGCTAGCTGAGGAGTTGCCCATGGGATGTTCCCGCTCTGGTTTGGGCCATGCAGGTTCATATTGTCTGGGGAGGAGGGAGCGAGATGCTCGGTGGCTGCTGGCTGCGTAGGCTGGTGCAGGGAGGATGCACGCTGGTGCCAGGCACTGTTGCACATCGCTGCAGCGTTGCTCCTACCTACCTTCCCTTCCCCACATTACCAGGTGGTCCCCCAAGCCCCCCAGCACTTGGGGCAGCTCTCGCCTTGCCTGGTCGCTGCCTTGCTGCCGGCACTCCTGTGTGGGTGCCTCTGTGGGTTCGCAGCAGGTTGGAGTCCTCCTTTCCCCACTGCCTCCTTGGGGCTTGCCAACCTCGCTGGGTACATGGGGGTTTTCCTGGGAAAGCCAAGCGGATTTTCACAAGCTGGGAGTCTCGCCGGGGCCGGGGGGAGCGCGAGCAGGAGGCAGCCTGCCAAGCCCTGCTGTGAGTCTGCCTGGCCCATCAATATTTAACGATAGCTCTGAGCTCTCCTTCATCACGGGTTGATGAATATTGAAAGATACACCAAGTGCTGAACAAAAACAATTAATAAGGTCCACCAGCCCAGCTCGAGGCCCTCCGTGCCGCCTTCTCCCTTTGCACTCTGTGCCGTGCCTCCCCATCTCCGCCTCCACCAGCAGAGATGCAGGGGTGGCTGAGGGCCGCAGGATTGGCATGTCACCAGACAGGCTTGAGAAAACCAGAGCATCTTTCAGACATCAACCAGTGTTTGTGGCATGGCCAGGCTGGATAAAAGTCTGTTGGGTTTTGTGTGCCTGGCCCTGGGGAGACGCCTGGAGTGGACACAGATGTGACCTTATCCATTACATCCCTGCTACCTTCCCTTTGCCAGTCTCTTTAGGCACATTGCTCTCTTAGTCTCTCTGCTTAGTTTATCACATTGCAAGGGAGCCCTTAATTTCTCAAAGCACCTCATTAGCAATGTGCCAGAGATGGGGTGCGGTGCAGACCCGTGGCTGGCGAGGAGAGGGGTGGGTCTTGGAGGCACAACCCCCTGTCCCCCATCCCTGTTCCCTGAGCGTATCCTTAGGCTTTTCCCTTTTTTACTGTTCTTCCATGACACCAGGCTTCACTGAAATATTTAAACTGCATTTCCAGCTCCTGGGTCTCTCAGAGCATCACTAAGCCACTGCCATTGAAGCAAAACTCTGGAATGAAGTAAATCAATAAAATATAAATAAAAGGCAGCGCGGGGAGGCCAGCAGCTGCAGTGGCTGAGCCGTGGGAGCGGCACAGGGACAGAGCCCAGCCCGCGCTGGCGCGGCAAGAGCCAGCAGCCCGAGGACTATGGGTCCCCAGCCACAGAATTTGGGGCTCCATTGCAGGTGGAGCTGTGGGAGGCTTAGGACAGGGGTGAAGTCCCCTGGCCAGTACCTTGCTTGTGCCTCCCTGAGTGATACATAAAGAGACTTTGTTCTTCTGCAGCCGTGGCGTGGAGCGAGCGATGTTGAGGGCTGTTCTTCCTTATCCTCTTGATTAGCCCTGCTCTTGGGTGTGAGAGTGTGCTTACCACCCAGGGCAACTGGATTAACATCCATCTAACTGGGGAGAGCTGTTATTTATTTATTTTGTTATTGGATAATCCCCCCGTTGCTGTGGCATCTGGCTCTATCGCGGATAAAGACAAACGGACGCCGGGTGGTAGCACTTCAACTGAGTGTTACAGGCTTGTCAGCGAAGGACCTGGTCTGGGACTGGCGTGGATGCCTGCTGAATAGCGTCAATCTACCCCTTCCCTTGGCTTTCTCCCTCTGTCCCTTTCCGTCTCTCTCTTTTCCTTCCCCTGGATGGATTAGTGTCTCCTAACAGGGCACAGAAAGGCTTCCCTCCTCTGGAGGCTCAAGTATTACTGTCCCCTAATGGTTTAAGGAGAGCTGTGCTATTCCTTGGAGGGCAAAAAAGGCTAAGCCCCATTAGCACAAGAGAAAGCCTTGCATGGGACCATACGACCCTGAGTCAGCTTGAATAAACTCTGGGAAAGTGGATTTCCTACCCCAGCCATCTGGCTCCTGTCCCATCTTCCAGGTATGGCATTGCCATTGGGCAGTGCATGGCGTTGGGCAGTGGGACTCTTCATCGTGGTGCTGCGGTTTGGGTTCCTTCTGGGCTTTGTCTCTTGAGTCAACCCGTTTGTGCCCGTTCCCCTGGTGTAGCAGGATTGCAGCCACGTCCCTGAGGTTATTAGCATTGCTTGTGCTTTCAGGGGCATCTGTTGCTGCAAGTGGCTGATCTGATGATTAATGGGTGGATAAGCTGAAGAAGCCTAACCGGAGAGGGTCGGGGGGCTGGCTGGCATTTTTACTTTAAAGGGAGTGAAAGCGATTTTAAAAATCATGGGCGTGTTAAGGGGAATTTTAATCTTATGGCAGTGAGACCAGCAGAGACAGGTGTGTTAAGCTGCCCTTGTAGGGCTGTGCCATTCACCTGGATCCTCTGTCACCCCCAGCTCCCTCCATGCCAGGCTGTCCCTCTCCTCTGCTGGTGCGGCACATCCCGTCTGCAGTGCCACCACCCTGAGGTCCCCACGTCCTATTAGGACCCACCACGTCTCTCACCCATCCTGCAAGATCCCACTCTCCCTCTTGTGCACACATTGCATGGTGGTGGTCCCAAACAGACACAGGAGACCTTTCCTGCCATGCCGCTTTGGAGCATGTTGCCATCTGGATTTGAACCATGCTTTAGGAAACCAGGGGCAATTTATAGGTTTTCTCAAGGCAGTTTTGGCTGCTTCCTTCAACTACATCTCTAAAAGCTGAGAGGCATGGCTCCATTTTTTAACTCCTTTTTGAGCAGGTGGTTGCAGCATCGCTCACTGCAAACTCCTGCATCTGAGGAGACACACAGAGACCCAGGATTTCTAACATGCAGGTGGGGAAGGGTTAAATCCCAAGCCTGGCACAGCGTCTTTGCACAGTCTTTCAAAGGTACATGGAAAACAGCTTGAGCTTCCAACCACTGCTCTTACTTCTTCCTCCTTTAATCCCCTTGTTTTTGGCTGAATTAGTACTGGGGATAAGTTTGACCAAAACCATATTGAGATCAAAGTCTCCAGACCTAAATCCAGCAGTGGCTTTAACCAAGGCCATGTGCCAGTGGACTGGTGCCCTCTCTGCATTGCAGGGCTCTGCACCCCTACCCAAGAGCCTCTCAGATCCAGGCCCAAGGGCAGGGGCACAGAGAGAAGCGAGGGTGCAGAGCATGGCCTCCTAAAGCTTCACCATCACCACCACTGAGTGCCAGGAACCAGGTGTCCTCTTCTCCAGAAGTTCTTCTGAACAGACCTTGCTCAGGCTGCTGGGGAAAACTCTCTTTATCCCTCCAGTGTTGGTGGTGATTGTCCTCTTGCTCTGCTGCGGTTCCTGGGCTTTGGGGCTGTAGAGATCAAGGGCTACGTTGGGTGTTGTTGGGAAGTCCCATGTCACCCAGTAGCAGTGGGTCTGTGTCAGGGCAGTAGCGGTGTTGAGTGCCTTGCAGGAGCAGAAGTGGGAGCAGCAGCTCCCAGGTGAGGAGAGGGGCTCCCAGCTAGAGCTGACACTCGGCAACGTGGGAGGAGGAGCTCCTGTCATGGGAATGTGGGTCAGGATCTGACTTTGCTTTGCAACCTCAGCTCTTCCTTTCAGCTTGTGCTTTAACTGGGCAGCTTGAGGTAGGTTTGGTGACATTTTACCTGGCTTCAGTGTCTCATACAATCCTCCTGTGGAAGGAGCTGTCTGGTTCCAATGGGATGTGATGGAAGAAACAAACTTTATTTAAGTAGGAGGTACCAGGGAGAAGCAGAAAGTTGGTCATCCCCTGGGTGAGACTCCCCATGGGACAAGGTTGTGCTCGGCTCCCTTCAGTTCTCCAAATATGCCAGAGACCAATTTGCTTCTCCCTCCTGGGGGGGGTCCTGTGGCTCAGCCTTGCAGATGGGCAGGCTTTTCGCTAGAGCTTTTGCTGTCTGCTTGCACCCCTTTGCTTTGAGGCTCCTGCCTTTCCAGATGTGACCTTTTAAAACCAAAAATAATTTAGCCACAGTACAAGGCTGAGGTGGCCATGGATGAGATCAGAGACCTTTAATATCCTCTTCTGACAGCTTTGCTCTCTGCCTTCCCTACAGAACAGAGTCGGTGGCAGAGAAGATGCTGACGAATTGGTTCACGTTTCTGCTGTACAAGTTTCTGAAGGTGAGTTTGGGAAGGGTTGGTGACCCTGCATAGGGGGGGAGGTGGTTCCTGCCCCACCAGGACGGGCAGTGTGGTACCCAGAGCCTGGGCTGACGTGCTCCTGCACGCTGCTGCTCCCTCCTGGAGCAGAGATCACTTCCCAGGCCTCTGTCCCCATCCTGTGTTTCTGAGATGTGATTAGTGATTCTGGGTCTCCTTTTGAGGAAAGAGCTGAGACTGAGAAATGAAATCCAGACTGGGATTGTTTAATGAGTAGTGGGTTTGAGATGTTCATAAAAATGATGCCTGGAGAAAGGATAAATCTGAAGCAACTCAGCTGAGTCTTGAATCCCTTTGGAGTGGTCCCCATTCCTCCCTCCTTGCCTCCACTTCTGTAATTTGGGAGGAAAAAGCCCCGGGAGCGTGTCCTTCTGTCGGCATCACTGTACTCAGAGGATATTTCTGTCTGTCTGAACTGTAGTTTGATTTGCTGCACTCTACACATAACGCTGCTGCTTTTCCTTCATCTCTTTGACGCTGAGGCTCCTTGGTAGGGGAATCGTTTCTGCCAGGCATCTCCACTTCTGCTGCTGCTTCCTCCCCTCCAAAAGGTGCCCCGGTGTGGGGATGGGCACCCTGTGGGGCCTGTTGGTAGCCAAGGATGCAACAACACAACGCATGGAGGGTGCAAATGATGTTGGACCTCCTCGTGCCTCTGCCTACATTGTCGAGCCCATTAGCTTGAATTCGCCTTTTTCCCAATTTCATCAAGGGTAGCAGAAGAGGATGCCAAAGTGTAAGGGCTGCTTTTACTACTGGTTCACCCAACCCATATCAAGAATGTTTATCCCATCAGCACCAGTGCTTCCACCTGGTAGAGCGGGTTACACAGCTGCAGCTCCAGCCCATGGACTGCTGGCTTGGTCCTGCTGCTGCTTCGGGATGACTCTGCTGGGGTGACCAGCATCTCTGGTCCCACCGCGGGTTTGTCAGCCAGCAGAGCCATTTCTTGGGATCCTGCCTGGCGTCAGTGCAGCGAGGCTGGGTGGCACACAGCCGTTTTTGTGGGATTTCATCCCTCATTAAGATAAAGAGGGTTTGAACCATTTCCAGCCAAGAGATGAGAGCAAGCAGGAGTCTGTGCAGAACTCAAGTGATCGTCAACGAGAGGTGATTTATAATATCACTTACATGCACTTGGCTTTTTGCCTCCATCAAGGGATAGCCTGCATCTATAAAAATGTAGCTGTAGCATGCGGCGCAGATTGCTTTCCAGGGGTGGGAGAGGGGAAAAGCTGTGCTGGTCGCAGGGAGATGTCAAACCTCCCGCTGCCACTTCGTGCTGGGGCTTTGCTCAGTGGGGCCACCCTCCATCCCTGCAGTGGCAGTGCCCAGTGGGATCAGGCAGGACACTGACAGATGGCTCTTTGGGCTCCGTGGGGTTGGTGGGACTAGCAGGAGTAGCTCTCACTGTGGATAAACTCCCTCAAGGCTCCTTGAAGTGTTTTGGCTGAGCAAAAAGTGCAGCGCACAGCCTTCGAATGCCCACAGCGGTGTTCGGGGACATTGCTTTTGTGTGCGTGACTCAATGCCCTTGGCCAGTTCCTGGCTGGGCTGGTACATGTGGGTGGGTGATAGGGGCATGTTCACCTTGCTCAGAAGCTGTGGGGCAGGTCTGAGGATAAACAGTAGCAGGAGAGAGAGGCATGGGGATGGGACCAGGGCAGTGCTTTTTTATAAAGTACTTGGCTACACCATGGCTTTGTTGGGTGAAAATGCTTCCAGTCTCTGGGTGGTAGCAGCAGGAGGGAGAAGTCTGATCTAGATGCAGCATTACAGGAGGAGCCTATGTGGAGGGTCTGGATAAACCTGCTGGCTGTGAGATTTGTGGCGCTGGGGATCGTCTCCCTGTGAAAGTGGTTGACACTCCATCACTGGAGTCGTGTGAGTTAGACTGGAAAAGAGAGAATTGAGGATGTGCTTATGGCCTCTCCTGAGTCAGTCCCACCAGAGGAGACCCGTGGGGCCGTTTCCACCTGTCTCCCGTCAGTGAAGATCAAGGGTGGCACCAAAAGCAGGAGAAATCCATGGAGTAGCTGGAGAGGTATCACAGCAGGCAGTTTGCCAGCAGGGAAACTGCACCAAACAGTGGTAATTGTGCATGTAAATGAGGCGGGCGGACGTGTGCCCAGCTGCCAGATCGGCTCTCAACAACCCTGCCCCGAGCAGGGCCGGGCGCTCGGCGTCACGCAGCTGTGATGTGCTGGGGTGAGGGCTGGGGACAGGACAGCCCCTCCTGCTCAGGGCCAGCAGTGTGGGGAGCCAGCGAGAGCTGGCGCTTTCACAGGGACCCTGTGGTAGCATTTATCAGAGTCTTAATGAGACACCCTGGGGAAAGGGAGAAGAGGGATAAATCGAGACAAGTGCTGAAAAATGCACGATATTAGGTGCCTGATGAGCTAGATCTAGTCAATAAGACAGTTTGAGCGTTAGCTGGCTCGCCTCAGCCTGCTCCCACCATACCGATGTGTGCGTGCACAACGGTGTTTGCAGCTGCCCTCCTCTGGCTTGGCTGGCACGAGAGCCCCCAAAGTCCCCCTTACTCAGACCCCCAGCAGTGATCAAACTGCGTCGGGGCTAGCAATGTGGGCACGTCTGCATCTGGGGGACCGGCTGCCCTCCATCAACCTGTGGGGCCGCCCGGCCCCATCTCAGCGGTCCCCTCCTCTATTTCACCCAAAGGAAATCATCTCAGGGCAACTGCCCAGTGCTGGTTTCTGTGGTCCCGGTTCATTTTGTTGGGGATGAGCCCTAAACCATCCTCATCTGTTGTGGCTCAGTGAGCTGTGACCCACGGCAGCATCTCAGCCCCAGTCCTCAAGAGCCGGTGGGAACGGTGAGGTTGGGAGTGATGTTTTGGATTCTAACGGTAGGACCCATGTTTGGAGCAGGTGGGGAAGCTGCAATGTGGACGATGTGCAGTCAGGGGGACAGGGCAGAGGGGCTTGTTTCAGTTGACATTAGGGTGCCCGACAGGTCAGAAGGAGACCAGGATCCTGGGGCACACAGGGTCCCCCAGAAGCCTGCAATGGTGCTGGAGGAGTGATGGACCACTGATGCCTCTGTCCCTCGGGGAGGCCATAGGGCCAGCTCTAATCCATGCATCCAAAAAGAGATTTATTCCACATGAGCCTGGCTGACACCCAAGGAGCGGAGGTGATGCTGTGGTGCCTGGAGTGCAACCAGGCTGCCAGTGTGGGAAGGGCAGAACCAACCTCTCCCGATGGGGATCCCCAGAGGTGGGCGCAGCGCTGCAGACGGGGGGACAGCAACCATCCCTCACCAAAGAGGGGAAATCCGTGGGCTGAGACAGGAGCAGCCGTGCCAGATGTGAGCAGCAGTCCCGCTCCAAGCTATCTGCCCTCCACACCACTTCTGCAGACTTGCAAGTTTTATGAGGATTTTTTACAAGCAACCAAAAGGAGCAACTCTGCTCTTTCCACTGTGGCTGGAGAGCTGGGCTTGGGGTGTCGTGGGAGCCCCTGGGGGCTCACTGCTCTGTGGCCAGCCTGGCACCCTGCCCTTGCTGGGCAGCCGGTAACGCACAGCGTAGCACCCACCTTGGGTCTCTCACTTTTCCAAGCTGACTTAATGAAGCCAAGTTTGCAAATGAAACATAATTTCAAAGACATGCGTGTTGTCGGAAGGTCTGGGGATGATGTATGCCTGTTCCTGCTCGTTAGCAGCTGTCTCTTTAATTACCACAGATGCTAACGAGATGCTAACAGCATATGGTGACAGGGAGAGCAGCCGCACTTTGCACCAAAGTACAATTTATTTGTGAGGCGGCCGAGAGGGAGGGGCTAGGGCTGGTGGGGTAAAATCTGCTGGGACTTCTCCCCATCCTCTCTGCTCCCATCATAGCCTTTTTTCTCCCTCAAGACTAACGCCTGTATCGGGAAGGGCTTATTTGGATGCAGTTCAGGGGAGAGGTTTGGGCCCTGGCTGATAAAGGGGTGTCCACTTCCAGGCGCCCATCTCATGGCTGGGTGGTGCCTCCAACCTTGGCGGGTCCTTTGCTGTTCCTGGGTCACTGCATCTAAGCATCTTCAGGGGAAGCATCTGGTCCAGTTTCCCTCTCCCTTCCTCCCACCTATGAGGTGGATGCTGATGTGGCTCTGGCTGGTGGCTAAAGGTGGCTCTGACTATAGGGGTTTGGCAGCAGGGACCTGTAGGTGGCAAATGGTTTAACTGCAGGAAACCTCATTGTCTGGTCTCCTCCCTCCATCAGCTGGAGACTCAGGGTAGGGTTGTCAGTGAGTTGCTCTCTTGCTTTTCCTTCCCAGGGGATCTGGCTGGCTGTGCCCAGCTGTCATATGGAGAAACCTCCTTTGACCTTCTCTCATGTGAGCCCGGGCTCCTGGCAGATGCCAGAACTGCACCGTGATACCTGGGCAAAAGCCCCCTGGCTGTCCCACTGCAGTGTGCCCTTTCCAGTCCTCAGGTGCTTCTCTTGGCTGGGACAGCTCAAAATACAGGCTATATCCCATACACAAAGTCCCCAGACCCAACTTGCTCTTCACTAGCCCTGAATTTAACCTTTTTAGCTCATTTTTGTCCTGTAGAATGAGCAAAATTCACCAGGGGGAGTATCTGGAAACTCTGGGAAGCTGAGGCTAGGGGTTGATAGGCAAGGGAACAACCTCTAGCATGCGTGGAAGGAGAGAATGCGTTCCTCCATGGGATGCATTTTACCATGTGCCCCCTTCCTTGCAGTCTTGAGCAAGGGCTGGAGAGTCTTTATAAAGCCATGTATGGGGCTCGATGCTGCAGGGCCACAGCAGGCTCCTGACACGGTGGTGGTTCTTGAAAGGCAAAGCAGTGCCTGGCACCTTCTCACCCCTCTCTCTCCCTCTCCTCCATCCCCTGTCCCACAGGAGTGTGCTGGGGAACCTCTCTTCATGCTCTACTGTGCCATCAAGCAGCAGATGGAGAAGGGACCTATTGATGCCATCACAGGAGAGGCTCGCTACTCCCTCAGTGAAGACAAGCTTATCCGGCAGCAGATTGACTACAAAATGCTGGTTAGTGCAAGCCTCACTGGTACTGGTGCTTGCCAGGACTTCTAGGTCCAGCTATTTAAGAAGATCTTGGAGGCACCCAGAGTACTTTGTGGAGAGTGTTTTGTCTCTTGTTCTTCTCTCCAGCATCCCTGGGGTACCTCTTGCTCTGTCTGTGTGGTGCCCATCTCAGCTAGAGTCAGAAATGGGGCCTTTGCATGACAAGGTTTGCTCTTGCCATGGAGCTGAGAAAGCCAAACGTGAAGTGAATCCCCCTCCAAGCCTTTCCCAGCAAACCCCATGGCCCTGACAGATACGGGGCCAGAGATACTGTTGAGCAAATGCTACCTGGAGCAGCCAGTGGCTCATGTCGGGTGGAGATCAAAATTAGAGCCTTGAGATTACTGGAGGGGATGGAGAGATACTTCTCTTCCTCCATATGAGCCATGTCCTCTGACCAGCTGGATGATAAGCCAGGCCTTACCCCTGGCTGAGCCTGCAGCTGGTTCTTCACCACCTTGATCTCCACCAGGGTGGGATTGGGAGGGGAATGGAGCGTGCCTGGGCATTTCTCAGGCTAGACAGGTTTTGGTGAGTTTGAGGTTTTGTTGGCCCAGGATTCCTTCACTGACACTGTGCTGCCTTTCTGGGAATAGTTGGAGATTTGAGGGTGGCGGGGAGAAAGGGGGAGCAAGAATGTTCCATGTGGCTGCAACTCTGCAGCAGCCCAGGCGGTGAGATGATGTGGCCTGTAGACAGCTGTCACCCTGTGTCCTTAGACCTGCCTTTGAAGCCAGTGTGTTGCAACCTCTCACTCGAGTCTTTCTGCCCCCCTGTGCTGTGCAGACCCTCAACTGTGTGAATCCCGAGAATGAGAACGCCCCAGAGATACCTGTCAAGGTGCTGAACTGTGACACCATCACACAGGTGAAAGAGAAGCTGCTGGATGCTGTCTACAAGGGGGTGCCCTATTCCCAGCGACCCAAAGCTGGAGACATGGACCTGGGTAAGAGAGAGGGCAGGCACTTCTCTGTGGGGAGCAGGGGTGGGGCTAAGAGCAGAAGTGCCAAAAAACCTGTTCAAGGCAGGAAAATACGCATCTTCTACAGGAGAGGGGACCTGTCAGGACCAGAGCATTTGTGCTTGTCCAGTCTACTTTTGCTGTGCTGGTGGCACTGACTGTGTGTGAGTCACACACCCCTGGCATGAGAGTATGGATCCTACCAGGAGAGAGGAGCCTCCTTGGCTCTGGCCATGGCTTGGATTGCAGGCTTGAGGTGGCTGAGCTCTAAGGAGGCCAGCAATTGTTGAGAACAGCATTAATAGTCCCGTTCTTAAAGGAGGGGCAGGAGAATAAAGAGGAGAGATGCACAGTCACCAGGGTCAAATCAATGCTGTCTTTCCTTGAGTGCTTAGAAACACCCAACACCATATTGATAGTCATCAGTCCTGGGGTTCAGAAGGTGGTGGGAGGGCTCTTCTGTTGATGCCCAGACTGTGCTCCTAGCCTTGCCCTGGCTTTGTGCTCCTATTGCCCCTAACCATGAGCTCTTCTCCCTCACGGGGACAGAATGGCGGCAGGGCAGGATGGCCCGGATCATACTGCAGGATGAAGATGTCACCACAAAGATCGACAATGACTGGAAGAGGCTAAACACCCTGGCTCACTACCAGGTAAGGCTGCCCGTCGTGGAGAGCACTCAGCAGTCAACTGACTGAGCATCTCTTCTCCCTCCTCAGCTTGGTCAGGGCCTGGGCTCAGCTCTCCAGACCGTGCTGCTCATGCAGGGGCATGGCCAGGAGGTCTGCAGTCACTTTCTTGCCTGGCCCCCATGTTTGTGGTCCTTCCATTCAAGGAAGCACTAAATGGGGCATCTCCAGGACTCACAGAGGCTGTTTCCTGCTCTGACCTTGCTTTGCTATTTTCATGCCAAGGTTTCTGGTGCTGTTCCTGTTCTGACCCTTTCCCCTGAGCTGTCGTGGAGGTAGATATGTAGGTCTCCTTTGTTGGAGATGGATGTCCCTGGGGTGGGGTGCAGTGTAGCTTCATCCCTCCTGGGCTGGTCTCTCCCTTCTGTGGGGCTGTTCCTCCTGTGCCTCTCTGGTATCGCAGCCTGCTCATGCCATCTCTGCCCCCAGGTGACGGATGGCTCCTCGGTAGCCCTGGTGCCCAAGCAGAACTCGGCATACAACATCTCCAACTCTTCCACCTTCACCAAGTCCCTCAGCAGATATGGTGAGCGCGCAGGGGCATCCTCCGCTGTGCTGGCAGGGGAGGCGGCGCTGGGCTGGGCTTGCAGACCAAGGCACAGGGCAGGTGATTGTCACTGTGGCTCACATCAACAAGGTCCTCCAAACCCCCAGCTCTCCTGCACCATGCTGTTTATTCTGGTGTTGGAGAGGGAGCAGATGCCCTCAGAGCCATCTCTCTTTGCAACATGTCAGACTCAAGGGAGAAAGGCACGTGTCAGATGGCTGCTGCTAAGGGATCAGCTCCCTTTTATTCCCCTGAAAGCTAATTAAAATAGTCACAGAGGCACTTTGCACTTAAATGAGCAGAGTGGAGGACTGCAGCGAACATGCTGGCAAGTGTACATCAGCCTTGGTTTGGAGGGGAATAGTGTGGTCCACTCAGGCTGGCACAGGAGGCATCTGTGATCCTGGCACCTGCATGCTGGGCGCCAGTCAGACCTCTGCAGAAACCCTTCCACGGTGGTCCTGGCTCCTGTACATCAGCCAGGCTTGAACATAGCCCAGCAGGCTGTGAGGATGGTCCCAGCAGAGCTCCCAACCCACAGTGACTGCAGAGGCTGGGTCCCAAAGCTCCCATTTCACGGCCGTGTTGTGTCCTGAAGCCGCAGTGAGGGAGGGGGGTACGGAGGGGCTGGTGGCGAGGTGGAGGCGGGCAGGGTGCGAACGTCCTCCTCTGCTTGGTGCTTGCAGAGAGCATGCTGCGGACAGCCAGCAGCCCCGACAGCCTGCGCTCGCGGACCCCCATGATCACCCCCGACCTGGAGAGCGGCACCAAGCTCTGGCACCTGGTGAAAAACCACGACCACATGGACCAGCGGGAGGGCGACCGGGGCAGCAAGATGGTCTCCGAAATCTACCTGACCCGCCTGTTAGCCACCAAGGTATGGCCCAGAGACGCAGAGCTGCCACCTGGCTTTTAAAATCTGAGTGGGGAAGGGTTAGTGACTTGCGTTGTCCAAAAGTGGTAAGCACTGCTTTTTTGTTAGCCTTCTGCTTCAGCACAGGAGGAGCTACTCTCTTGGTCTCTTTTCTGAGCGGGAGATGATGTTTTTTTGTGTCAAAACCCTCAGTGAATATCCTTTGAGTGGATTTTCCCATTTGCTTTTTGCACCCTTTGGCATTTTTACTCTTCCCTGTATCCTTGAGCAGCTTCTGGACTGCAAAGCAGGGATGCCCTGGGGCGGGTACCTCATCCCCTTTGGTGTTTGGGATAAAGCTACAAAATCAGTGCTGTTGGAAGGGTAATTACCTGGGGCATTTGGCATCACAGCGGGTTCCCCTTCCCTCAGCATGTACAAAACCTCTAGCGCTGAGCGGGTGCTGTGTGTCTGAGATGTCCCTAGAGAGGAACGGGGAGCTGTGCTGAGATACTGGCTCAGGATTGCAGAGACGGGGCTCAGCCCGTGACTTGGCTCCCTGCCTCGTGGGACCAGGGCTTGTTCAGCCATGTCTGTCATCAGGTCTTGGGTACCTTAATAGGACCCAGAAAATACCGTGATGTGACATAGATTCACTTGGTTTTTGCTCTATATGGTCTTTTTATTTTATGCTTTTAGTGTGCCAGATCATGCAGTGAAGGAGATATCCCATCACCGCTGTGTCTGTTTCCCAGTATAAACCACTGAGAACCGGTAGGGTTACACAGGCTGTACTGTGCTTTTCTTCCAGGTGGTAGGAATAGAAGTGAAATTGGTTTAAAGGCCGACCTTTAGTTAAAGGCTCATCTCTCTGCCGGTGCTGGGCACTGCTGAGCCACCCTTCTCTCTTCCTCCCCTTCAGGGCACCCTGCAGAAGTTTGTGGATGACCTGTTTGAGACCATCTTCAGCACAGCACATCGTGGGAGCGCACTGCCCCTCGCCATCAAATACATGTTTGATTTCCTGGATGAACAAGCTGATAAGCATCAGATCAATGATTACGATGTCAGGCACACCTGGAAGAGTAACTGGTAATGGAGAGGGACTAAGGATATCACAGCTAACGATACTTCCAACCCCTCCCACAGGGAGCAAAAATATGTCCCTGGAAATGATCCAGGACAAGAGAGGCCCATATCTCTGTATTTCGGGTGTGGGTAAATCCTTTGCGTGCTTTTCTGCAGCAGAAAAAAATCTCAGGAATGCAGCGCTCCCTCAGCCCTTCCAGCCCCGAATCCCAGACACCACACTCCCCCTGACGGCTGGAGTCAGCCCAGGGCCGTGGTGGCTCTGTTCCCATCTCACCTTGAGCAAAGGCAGCTCAGGCTTCTCCGTCCTCTGGGCTCCTCCAGAGATGCCAGCCCCAATTCTCGTCTTGACTGTCCTAAAGGTGTTTCCATGCTCCCTCCCATCGCTCAGCCAAGCATGCCCTAACAAAGTCAGCGTAAAGCCGTGTATGCATCCTCCGTAAGCTCTCCTGCAGAGCCAGCGCATGGACTCTGCTAATCGTTCCCTGAAAAGCGGGGCGGAGTGGCTGATGAGACCTCGGTAAGCGTGGTGTGGGGGCCAGGGCTTGAGCAGGCTTTGGCTCCTGCTCCAAAGCCACCCACACCCCT